CTATAAAAAAAATTATTTAAATTTTATATAAATATTATTATTTTTATTTTTAATTATTTTTTATATCAATCTCAAAAAAATCAAAATTAATCAATTTTAAAAATGCATATTAAAATTCATCATTAAGTTTACCATCTATAATATTTAGTAGCATATTTATAAGCATTTGATTTTGATCATTAAATAGTATATCATGCAAATAACCTTTTTCTCAACAATTTAGTTAAGAATATCAAAAATAAAATAATATTATATTTATGATTTTAGCTCCAATATATTTTTATCATTTTTGCATTAAATCCATCATTAAATATATTCTTCCACTTTGATGACTTATCATAAGGTCTATCTTCATATGTAATCTATCTTTAATCACATAATCACTATCTTATTAAAAACTTCACTCTACTCTTCATTAATTTTGATCACTTAGAGGTCTTTGTAATATAATCAAATGAAACAGTATCTTTATTTGTCCAAACTTCAAGACTGTATATTTGATAAATGATCCCTTTTTTATTTTATATTAGAGGAATCGATTTGACATGCGAGACAATCCAGTTGTGCAGTAGCTTGTTTATGTAGGTAGCAGGAATGCAACGGCAGTAAACAGTTGAGATTTTGTTTGGAAACTTACAGACAGCAGCGTGTTAGCGTAACAAGATGGTCTCGCTGTTCATGTCAGCAGATAAGCAATGGTGACTATGGTTCCATGACACAGTGGTCAATCCACTAGACTCTCCACAGAACTAGAAAGTAGCGTCGCCGGCAGACCAGTCACTCATGCATCGGAAGCAGGGTTCTCGTGACTTGCATCCCACCTCATACTGGAATGGTTACAGGACTAGCGATTCTTGCAAGACTAGGATACCCATCCCTTTTTGTGCAGAATCTATTGTGGAAGTCTAAGACAGACGCTCGGACGTAGCAGGGGGAGCGCTCCATGAGCATGTCAACGTCGAATCAAGCCAGCTCTTTCTCCTCGTCTATCTGGGAAGCGAGCAAAACCTAAAACTGGTAACAATGACGCTTCGAATGCTGTTGCTGCTGTCAACAGTGCAGAAACGTGGTGGTCTGTAGAGTAGATAGGAGAGGTCCCACACATCCTGCTGCACGGGAGTCTGTGGATAGAGTCCAGTTTTCGCTGCAGGGAAAGGCAGCGTTAACTCTATCTTGAGCAAGACACACGTGATAAGTCACTCCGCTAGCCTGCCGTGTGCGGTGGATTCTCGAGGTCATCCGACGACAGACTTTTGGCCTCAGGTTGCGGTTTTCTGCAACATGTAGATTTTGCAACCCCTAAGCATCAACTCGGTTCTCTTCCTGTTTCTGGGCTCCAAGACATCGAACGATTCTTCTATCGCCGGAAAAATCTCAACAGGTCACTAACTGCTCGTCTACCTATATATAACTATGTGTGTATATTTGTGTACATATTTCTGGATTCAATGGTTCCTCTCTTAGCCGGCAGGGGAATCACCCACAAAATGCGCATTGACTGTGTTGTTTGGAGGTGCGAGAGGACAGAAAGTATTATTCAATGCACATCCAAAATCATGCACAAGATTGTTTTACAATTTGTTTATATCAGTGCTTTTTTTGACATTTCGCCGACGCTTATCTTCTACAAACAAAGAATACACCTATCACGTGATTAGTTACAAAAATCTGATAATGAATTTACCTGTTTCGCAACAAAAAAATGTACTGCTGAATTGCCGTTGTAATATATGACTGTTTAGCAGGTAAGGAATGTTGAAGTACAAAAAGAAGAGTATTTCAATGGATGATGACTAATTCCTGTGAAAATGGTGTCCAATATTTCTTGTGTTTATTTTATGAGTATTGTGATTTGTCTTGTTCTGTTTCTGTGAGTGTGTGATAGATTTAGTTGGAATCTATTGTGATTGTGAGGAATGAATTAATCTCTCTCATGAACAACTAAATGAACATTTTGTACTTGAAATTAAATTAAGTGTATAGATTATTACAGATTTGGGGATCGGAATAAAATGTTGGTTAGAGCATGTTATTGATGCTCAGTGTAATTGACAAAACAAAACACCAATTCATGGACTATACGATTGAGGAAGATTTTTGCAATGATAAATCAATATCAATGAAACTTTGAAAAATAAAATAAGAATGATCTATATGTGCCAATAGAACGAATAACCATAATTTTTTTATTGCTCTATACTACAAAACTGAGGATACTTTAAAAAATTAAAATATATAAGTTTTTGGATAAAAGTTCATTAGATAAAAATGTAAAGAAAAAAAATTCTGAAGAAAATTGAATTTCAATGAAAGGTGTGAAGTTAGGCAAGTCATGTGGTTTATTCTTATTTGCAAAAGAATTTATTACTTTCTTTTAAGTAGGCAAAGGTCCAATTTACAACCTTCTTTTTATACTTTTCTGTGTTTATCATTGTATTCTCATTTATGTTCCAAACCTATCTTCTTCCATATGGCTTAGTAAGAGTTATTTTTTAGAATAACATGCTGTAACCAACATTTCTTCAATATGACAAAAATGTGTAAATAAAGCTGGAGTTCTAGTTATATTTACAAGAACAGATTGTGTTATGTTTTGTTATAATTTAGAAGTCAAAAAGTAGACTTTTAATTATGGTGCATAATGTAAATTAATTAGATAGAAGAAAATAATAAATTATTTGAATCCCAACAAATATTTGAATAGTATATAATTATTTCTAGATGTCTCTTGTAAATATTTAAAAAAAAAAAATGGTAGAATAATTTGAAAAATATTTAGCATAAATATAGTAATATATTCAAATCCAACTTTAATATAATAGATGTATGATGTAGATCCTACTTTACATATATTCAAATTCTAAATTTTAAAAATAAAATGTACTATTTAAAATATCTACTTAGTTTTAGAGTTAACCTAAACCACAAATAAATCTATTTCTCTAATTATTTTATTTACTAAATTAGAAATTTTTAAAAATAATCTACTTACATCTAAAATAACTATCAAAGTGTTATTGTATTAAACAAAAAGACTAATATTTTTACAAAATAAATTGTAAATATTAAGTACCATTTGTAAAAAATAAACTCACAAAAAATTGGTTAAATTATATTATTAAAAAAATCTGATTATTAGTAATGTATTTATTTTATTTATTTTATGTAAAGTTTAGATATTTACTGAATTCTTCAAGCTTAAATTATATTTAAAACAAAATAAAATTTACTAACTTATGTCAAATTTTGCATTTCTTTTTTATAATAGTTTTACATACATAAAAGTAGTTCTTAAAAACATATTTATAGCTATTAGTGTGATTAATCTTGAATGAAAAGATGTATAAGTAAATAAGATTTTTTTAGTAATATGTATATTTTATCAAATTTGAGAGATTTTGAAACTTAATATTAAGCAAAATTAATTAAAAAGTATTTCAACAAAGTTAAATAATGTACTAAGTGAGTACTAATAATTACCAAGATTATTATTATTATTTTAAAATTTTATAAAACACTTAGATAAAAATAATAATAAAAAAATATTTAGTATCAAAAGTAAAAACAATATCAATCTCAATCACACAAAAAACCATTGCAATATGTTTAAGTAGTAACTTTCTAATAAACACCTTAAAAATATATTACAAAGCTATTTACTTTTAACACACAAGTATGATCAAAAAAGACTAAACAAAAATTATTATTAACACATATTACAAATTCATGCATTAAATTGTTAAAAATAAGTATCTAAAATTTACAAAAAACAGATTTTATTTTTATTAGTATTCAACTCTTATATTAAGAAATTATAATTGTTAAGTTAGTGTCACTAATTTTAAGAGAAATCTTATCTGAAAAAAAAAATTATAAAGTGAATAAAAAGATATAACTAACATTTTTTAAAATTACTTAGAAATTTTTTACTAATTTTTTTATTTTAAAAAACTAAAAAGAGTTGTAGCAAAATTTAGAATAAGGTTATCAAACTTAAGAATAAATAAATAAATAAATAACATTATAAGAAATTTTGCATGAAAATGCTAATCTTGTGTTAAAAAGTACAAAATAATTTATAATATATAAAAATAAATAGATACTAAAATTATACTATTAATATTATAGTATGGATGTTTCATACATATATATATATATATATATATATATATATACACATATACTAATAGTCGTATAAAGATATTTGAAGTTGTAATTCTATTATCAAGGATTGTTGCTATAGTTTATATAGCTTTGTTTTGTATATTTACATATATATATTTATATTTATATACATATGCACATATTATTACTTCCATCTATAATCTTTATACAATTATATATACATAGAGAGGTCTTATTATGTCAAACTTCAATTGGGGAGACAATGATTTGTCTATGACTCGTTGCTTGCATTCGGCAAGCAAAAAGCAATGAGCTAAATCCTTCTTTCAACAAAATAAAACTTCTTTTCTCAAAGAATTGAGACGTGGTGGTGAGGCTCTGTGGAAAATCCTAGTCTCTATACTTCCAAAGTGAACCACTTTGATTCATAGTGGTGATAAGTATGAGATGCGGCAAATAAAGCATTGTCGAACCCAACCTTTGTTCTAACACGCCCTCCTACCTTCTTCAAGCTCATGGATCACACTCATGCCTCTTCTACTCTACGGCTTTGTCGACACACATGACTCTTCCAAGTGCCGAGTCTGGTGGTGTTAGTGCGTTGGTTACCCTAACAAAGACTATGGGGGGAGGTGGGGGAGAGGGGGAGGGGAGGGGCAGGAGCACAGGACAAAGGGAGGGCAGCGCCCCCACCTGGGGACTAGTAAAGTTATTTATAGTGCAGTGGTGGTAGAGGAAGCATTAATTTGCCATGTGCTGTTATGGAGACTCCTGCCGAGGCCCCACCATTAAATGCGAAACTCACGTGTGGCCGTGTGCATGAGCCTGGCCTGAGTCATTTATACCCTCCTCCTTCACCTCCACCTCCCGCATCCCTCACCCCCTTCCGGTCCAGATTGCAGTGAGTGAGCGAACTAAACACGGGAATTTGTGTTGTCAAGTGACAAAGACTGGGTTTGTCGATTATTTCGCTTTTTGTTTTTTTTTTTTTTTTTTCGTTTTTGCAGGAATCCTGTGAGCTGAACTTTTCCTCCAATTCTCTCCCCTATCCTTCACCTTGAGCTTCTTGAATTGTTTTCGTTTCGATAACGATGGAGGAGAAGAAGAGGTCGACCCCCTTGGTGTTGAAGCGGAACGGGCAGGTGTTGGGTATCAAAAAGCCCGCCGCAGGCTCGATCTCTAAAAAGCAGAATTCTCATGCACTTGGCAACACTTGCACCTCGTCTTCGCCGCCTTGCACCTACAGAGGCGTGCGGATGCGCGCGTGGGGGAAGTGGGTCACCGAGATCAGAGACCCCGCCAGCAGGACGCGAATCTGGTTGGGATCCTTCTCCACTGCCGAAATGGCAGCCCGCGCTTACGATGCCGCGGTTGTGTGCCTCAAGGGTCCATCGGCTCCGGAGTTGAACTTCCCCAATTCCCTCCCAAACTTCATTCCTGAGGTTCGATCGCCGAAGGACATTCAAGCTGCGGCAGCTGCTGCTGCCACTGCTTCGGTGTCCCCCGCGATCCCTCTCGCCGTCGGGACCGCCCCACCGACTCAGACTCAGGCCTTAAATGATGTACAGGATGAATTAGCAGATGAGTTGACGAGCATGATAAGTAGTGCTTCATCAGAGCAGGACTCGAATAACATGGCGTTCGGAGAGGATGCAATTGCTGCATTCCAAGAGCAGCCCAACAGCAGCCCTTCAAGCAGCTCCTCAACGATCACTTCAGCAGTGGAGGCTTTTGTGAATTGGGAATTTGCGGAGTATGAGGAATCCAAGCATCATGGGATTGATTTGTGTCAAGGGTTGATGCGGGGGGACAGCAATGTGATCGAATTCTATTATCCGAGAATAAATGGGAACTCGCAAGATGACAAGGTTGGATGGAATACAGCATCTTACGACTTTTCGGTAGCCTACGAACAAAGCCTTTGGTGCTTCTCCTAATAGTTCGACAGACAAAAGAGGAGAAAAGTGTGTTTTATTTTAGTTGTAGGGAAATACATTTTCCTCTCCTGGAAGTGAATCAAAAAGTGAAATCAGAGTGTACAGAAAAAAGAGGTGTGGCAACAATTTTGGAAAACAGTGATTGCAGTTTCAGTGCCGCCACAGAACCGCTCCACTGGTTGCCCCCATTTAGTTACTTGAGGTAGTTAGAGTAGATCACATGTGAGAGTAGCTTCTCAAAGCATGTTTCCCACCCGGTTGCTTTTCGAATGAATGAATTCAAGCAAGAAATCTTGCCATCTCTATCAATTCCGGGTTCCACCTCGTAGCGTAACCACAGCGTGAGCGTCATGGACTTCGTTGCAGACACAGACCATATAACTCACAAGCATCCAATTCTTTAATAAAGCACTTCTATCCTCATCCTCCCTGAAAATTATTCTATTATCAGATTGGATGCATGTACCTACTTACATACATAATAAAAGGCGTTTCTTTTTCTTTTCTTTTCTGTTTGTCCACAAAAATCAGTGATTGACTGAGGTATGAAATCAGTTATAAAATCAGGTATGTGGGGAGAGGCACCATCCACATCTGTTCCCAGCCCCCTGTCCTGCGTCTTTTTACTTAACACATCTTCCATGTATATTGTGTATGAATTTGGATTTTCCAAACAACATTTTCTAAAATTAAAAATCATGTACAAATAACAGTATATTGATTCAATAAATTTGGTTTATATATGTGTGTTCATTCATCAATTTAAATTGTTGAGAAGGTTTAAATTATTATAAACACTTCATTCTCAACCAAAACTATATTGTGCAACTTTTAAACATTGAAATATTCTTTGGTAACTTTTTTACAACATATTTTCATCATAGAAAAACCTCTATCATATACAAATATCAGGGATTCAAGGTTATTGCAATGGTTATACAATTATTTAGCTTGCTAAATGGGTTTTATCTAGCATATGTATGTATGAATATATATATATATATATATATATATAAAGATAGATGTTTGTTCAATGAAAATTTTGACATGACTACCATCCTTGCTTGATCAAGCATTTGATTAGTTGCTACACCGTAAGAATCTCTCAAATACTCAAAGACACAGTCGACATTCAATTACAGGAGCTTCAAATTTATATTAAGTGAGGTCAAAATCACATTAAACAATTAGAAACTTTATGCAACCCAATTTCATCATGTCTCAAAACATTACATTAATGCAAAAAATGAAGTATTATTGCATCTTTCAATATTTGAATTTAGTGATGCAAGTGATAGTTTGCTATGAATTTTTCTATTATAGCAGCATATACCTCATTCATTCAATTCATTTTAGTCTAACTCTTGCTTTGCAATGCTTATGGCTGAGAAGAATCTCTTGCTAGATTTTTAATTCTCTTTGTGAGGTAAGGTTTTAAGGATCAAAAAGTGTATATATATATATATATATATATATGTACATACACATATACAATGCATTGTTATCCATCCTTGTTCTTTTTCTTATATGTCTTTGCTTTTCCATACAATAATTTTGATAGAATAAAAAAATTATAATTTTTTTTGTAAAATATTTACATTTATTTTTTGTCTAATTTTCTAATTAAATGTCTTTACTTACTCTTCTTCAAGATATTTTATGTTAAGTTCATATTTAACTTTCATTGTGATTGAAGGTATAATTTGCAAAAACAATAAAAATAAAAATAAAAGATAATTGGGAGACAATCCAATACTAATGTATTTCTCCTAATATCAAATTTGTAGATCTAAAATTCGTAGAATCAACCAGATTTTTCTAATTCTTATATATTACTAATTTTATTGATTTATAATTATTTCATCATACTAATTGAAATTGAAAAGGAAAAAGAAAAAGAAAAAGAAAAAACCTGAAGATTTAGGTAATCTTTAAGTCTATATTAAGTTAATTGTTCCATAGTTCACAGGTTTCTATTGTAATATGATGATTTATTTTTGTATTTTTGTCACATTCTAATGACTACCTAATATCCATCCAATGCTTTTTTGGCAAAGAAAAATGTGTTTTCTTGCAAGATTGGCTATTTTCACATATTTTATTTTTTAAAATGCATACATACATACATACATACATACATACATACATTAATTTTATCTAGTGAATAGGTGTATTTTCAGGATAATAAAAAAAAAATTATTTTGCCAAGCAAAGAGCCAACATAAGAGATGAGGTATTTAATATGAGGACCAATGATAATTTTTAGCTCAATTCTCTGCATGATTGTAATTTGTTAATGCATTTAAATATACTACAATTTGCAATGTCCTTCTATAAAAAGCATCCAGGGTCCTTCACATTAATTTTTCTTAGCTTATGTTCTTGTAAAACTAAGTTTTTGTGAAGCATTAGTGAATATGTAATATAATTTTTAAGTTGAATTATTAATTAAATATTCTTGTAATATTAAGTGGAATTTATAATTGAATAAATCTCAATCTCAAAGATCTATTAGAAGGTGTTTCTATTCTAAATATCTCTTAAAATAAGAAAATGTTTGAACTTAAAAAATTTCTTGGCAAGCAATTATTTGTATTGATATAGATTTTTGGAAATTAAGTGATATAGATTTTGCAATAAAAGATGTTACTTGTAGTTTTATTTTATATTTTTTATTTTTCATATTTATGTTTAATTAAAAACTGAAAGTTTAATAAAAATAGAGATGCATTTTATGTTAAAATAGTGCCATCTTCGTTTTAAATGTAGGTTTATTCTCAAAGTTTTTATATCACATTCAATGGAATTTTTGTAATTTATAATTTTTAGTTTCTTTTATTTATTTATTAGAAAGTCTAATGTTGTAATTGTTGACAGATGCTTCAAGTAAGTTAGATAACAAAATAGCTACTTTACAATCAAGTGAATTGTATTCTTATGTAGGCTATAGAACATCAGTATCTTTAACTTTATTTTGCAACGTAGCTACAAGAAGTAATTATTATTTTGTCGCAAATCACAAATCTAATAAATTTTATACCATATTAAATATATAATTTTCTATGATGAAGAATTACGTCTTATTTTAATAAGTTAAGATTGGGTTTGCAATGTCTATTTGATTATATAGTATCTTGTTTAAAGTTACATCATAATATATATATATATATATATATACACACACACACACACACACACACATATATATATATATATATATGTATATATATAAACATATGTATATTTATCTGCGAAATTTTTCTATCATCAATATTACGGTTTTTCTTTTTCTTTTCTTTAATTTTTGTACATAAATGCATTAGTATTCACCATATATTTTACTAGAAATATATTTATTTTAAAAGTAGAATCTGAAAAACAAGTGTTGAATTCAACATCCTTTAAAATATCCATTAACATTCATCTTTCTTAACATTGATACTAAATTAGTTTGTTTTGTAGTTGCTTTGATAAGCTTGCCCTTATATTCCACCTATAAAGATATATTTTGGTCATTTTTATTAGGAATCTCAAAAATATATGTTTTGTTAAAATTTTATTATCTTTTATTTTCTCTCAAATTTTCAAAATCAAGATAATTGGTGCTACACATTGTTAACCATAGAAATATATATATATATATATATATATATATATCTTCCATTAATAAAAATATGTCTAATAGATACTGATCTATTTCAAGAATTTTGGCACATCAAAAGTCATTCAATTTGCCTACTTGTCTTGTTAACCTATAGATCTATATGGAGTATATCCAAGTGAATGTACTTTATTTCAAATTGAATATAATACATAATCACTTTTAGTACTAGGAATCAATGTTATGAGATTATTTGTTACAATATACTCAACTACTACATATATTCAAATCTCTCGTCTATACTCTCTCTTTTAAAAACATCCAAAATTCCCATTTATTTGTCAAAGTGAGTATTGCTACGTTCAAATAAAACACATAATATATTTTAAACATATTTGCTTTCATGAGACTGAGTGTATTTTTAGGTTTGTTTACTCTACCCCTGTTACTTCACTCCACTGCCACCACACTTTTCAAAGTCTCGAGTATAAAAAGTATTATCAAAAAGAGAAAAATATCATCAGTTTCTTTAGTCAAGTATATCTCACTATGGGCGAACATGACATGTCTTTGCAATGGGACTTTCTAATGCAGTCAAAAAGGAAAGCAAATGATGTTAAAGCCGAGTGGAATACATAAAGCCAAGTACACAAAACAACGACCCATCCAGGACAAGAGAAGTGGTACTATTTGTAACCAGTCAGGGCCATGAAAAAAGACCGATAATTCTCATCATCCAACTGGTGAAGAAGGGAGGGGAGTTGCGAGAAGACCCCGCAATTGAGATGAGCACGGCACTCCAGAGATGGATGGATTCCCCTTGCGAATCTGGGGGCGAGCCACAGCGTTTCATACAATGAAACATGTGTTATTTGGCATCATCTGTGGCTTCTATCTGTCTCTTCTGGAGTTAATTACTCCTGGTCTGGCCCCACTTGCGGGACCGACGCCAGTAGAGCCACACGCATTGGTGGTCACCCTCTCAACTGTTATAGTCCTCCTTGCATGTATGAAAAGTTCCGGGCTATGAACAGAGAAATATATTCGCCTTCCCCTTCATGGGCTTGGGATTCGCTTGAAATTTCTCGATTGCGCTGACTACGGGGTTCTCAGGAATCGGCATTGGAATCTGTGTACTTCTGTGGTTTTCCAAATGAAGTGCTTTTGGAGCAGGAAAGATTAGTATGCATTTCTGCACACTTGAAGAAAACACTATCCTTCACTAGCAATCATAGCGGCACAGCGCAAGGACGCCACAAGTGACGCTGCGTGCGGACTCTTAGTTGGCTACAACAGTCCTGAAACATACTGATCTGTTAGGATTGGCTCGAAATAATCGAAGAACTGGGGCTAACTTAGGCACGTATCGTTAGACTAATTTCGTCAGAGAGAGCAAATCCACTAGTATAATTGGATATGGTGGAGAAGAGGAAACTGAAAGCCATTCAGGTGAGACGAGGAGGATACCTGCTCGGGTCCCTGAAACGATTCTCCCCCTCCTCCATTGCCAAGACGTCTGCCTCTTCTTCCCTTCACGGACACAACTGCCACCACGCCCTCCCTTCGCTCCCCAATGCCGCACCCTACAAGGGCGTGCGAATGCGGGTGTGGGGCAAGTGGGTGACGGAGATCAGAGATCCCATCACCAAGACGCGGATATGGTTGGGATCCTTCGCCACCGCGGAAATGGCCGCCCGAGCGTACGATGCCGCCGTTGTGTGCCTCAAGGGAGCGTCGGCTCCGGAGCTGAACTTCCCCGACGCCATTCCGCCGTTCTTGATCCCCCAGTCCACGTCCTCTCCCAAGGAGATTCAAGCCGTCGCTCTGGCAGCTGCCACGGGCTCCATCCAGCCGGGTGCTCCCGCACCCATCCAAGCCGCATCAGGGGGTGCTCGCCAGGAATCGGAGGTGGACGTCGTGGGCTCCGCATCGTCCAAATGCATGGACGTGGAGCACGCACATGGGAACGACGCGGAGGGGGAGAATCATGACATGCCCGACGTGAAGCAGCGCAGCAGCGAGGCAGATTTGGAGGAGTGGATAAAGAAGGAGTTCGGAGAGATGGATCCGGTGGAGAGGGAGCCGAGCGAGGATCTGTTGCAAGAGCTGATGAAAGGAGGGAACGACGAAGACACGGCGGGAGCGTTGGGAGGGTACAGCGGAGTGGAGCAAGCATCGGAGTGTGTGTGGCCTTCGTCCGATGAGGCAGACGAGTCGCTGGTTTATGATGTGAAGTTGTGGTCGTTTACCTGAGGCGTCAAACATCGCTCGGCCAAGCACCGCATTCTGAGGTTTAACTTAAACACTTTTCAGATCGACGCACCGAAGACGCCAAGTGTCTTTCCTAAGTGACTCAGAAGGAGTACTTGAGTCAGTTGTATTAGAGTTAGATTTTCATTTTTTTCATTTCTTAATCATGATAAACACTATTATCTTCCACATATCTAGGGCGTGTGGTGGCAATTTTTTGGGGATCACCCTCACTTCCGTTGTGGAAACATTCTTTGCGGCAGAGCACATGGCCGTTACGACACCATAGATTTCACTCATTCTTTTGTGTAACATGCCAGTATTGCTGGTGAAACATTTTAACAGAATTTGAATCATGCCGTTTCTTTATTTTTCTTTCTCCGAATCATTAGTTTGAATACAATTGACGAGCTTCAACTTCCAGTAATCGTGCTGCAGATAAGTCATGCTGTGACAGTTTCTAGGATGCAGAAGCTCATGCAGATTATGGAACAAGCTTGCAAAGATGCAAATGAAGGTTGACTAGGATGCATTGACTTTACACTTGACCGTTGCATCCATGCAAATATAATAAAAATTTGAAGCTAAAGCACCCAACAACCATCCCATTTCTCAACAATTTCATTTTGATCTGTGATGTCTACTTCCAATAATTTCACTTTCACAGAAACCAATCACTCCATGAATCAAAAAGTTGTTACTTCTATCTTCTTACCACAGACAAGAGTTTGTTTTTAGTGGAAGCTTGTCATCTTGTTGTTGAACACTCTGGGTGCTGCGTAGTCTTCGAGTTAAGTAACATGTTGCTTTTTGCTCGAGGATAAGCTGATAGTGAAGGATAAGTGACTCAAAATCATCCTCAAAATCCATCAGCACTTCACACATCAAAATATCCAATTCTAAATACTTTCGCAATGTATTTGTAGGAAAAAGGAGATTCACTCTCTGCACTCAAGTGCTGCATACTTTCAAATCACTTGCAGTGCAGACGGAATTTGTTCAATAAAGATGTTTCTAAACCCAGTCACACTGTTTATACGTTGGGGACAGGCAGCATTGGCTCGGGTTTGTTAATAAACAGGCCAGTTGATCGTTCGAGAACCGCTTCACGCAACAACGCAACTCAACTTCAGAATTGATTCATTGACATTCAAATTACCAAATGGTAAACAATCACAGAACCACTCATTTGTTAACATGGGATAGTGAGGTACCCAAAAAAACTTGTGAAAAAAATATGTCTTGCATACTGTGCACACCTGCAGTTTCATAAGAACCTTTGAAATACCATTCACATTGGCCATAAAGAAGGGCGATTCGAAACGGTTGCCGAATCTGAAATGTCCAAAGACTGTGGAAGGCTGTAAAGCTTGCCTTTCCACTCGTGCAATTCTATCAAGGAATGAGACACTCGAATGCATTAGCTCGGATAGTGCTGTTTTCATTGCAGTGACGAAGCTGCAACTTCTCAAACAGGCGTTCGGACACATTTTGTGCGCTGCATGGAACCGAAACTAGGGCATGCAAATGTAAGAATAAACTACGTGATACACCAAGAGAAGATATATACTAGGAGATCACCACCTCAACAGAATGGAAATTGTGAGGGGGAGTCGAATTTGAGCTGGGTGAAACAGAGCAGGGGCAAGAGAGGCAACAGTCCACTACTTTTGGTCATAGGTCCACAGTGAAAAGTACTCTCGAATAAGATAGCACGCTGGACTGATCTGCTGGAGGAGTCTCTTCTGCCTCATTGCGAATTCTAGCTAGCCGCTCCACCAATTCTCTCCTGTCGTCTTCTCCTCTGCTCCTGTTGTCTTTCAGCGTCCTTCGAAGACCTCTCCCTATATCACCGCACTCTGTCTTGTTCTCCCATCCAGTAGGATTGCCAAATCCCTGCCACTTTCAGACAGGACCGATTTTACATCTTCATCATTCTTGAACGGGAGTGAGGTTCACTTCCTCAGCTGGTAAAAGGTGGCGATTGGCAGTAGAACGGTATTGGAGAGAACTCTGAAAGTCCATCCTTCTCTAAATTATCTCGATGATGCGGCGAGGCAAATGGTACGTGATTTTTCATTTTTTGCGACTATGTAATGTTAAAGAGACATGTTGATTAAATTGGGTTGCTTCAAGTTTTGATAAACTAGTGATTCATGCGATTTTGAACTCACCAGGTATTGATTCATAAATTATTTTTCAAAATTCGAAGCTCCCATAAGTGAAGGGTTAATGGAAGGTCGGCTGCGTCTTTGAGCGTCTGAGAGATTCTCATGGTATAGCAACTGTTCGAGCATGACCCAGCGAGGATGGCAGCTTTTTCATATATTTCTGGACGATTTTTTTTGGATGTGATTGCTTGGTCCTTCTTACCGCAAAAGGAGAATCAATAGCTTACCGATCATCTGGAAGCTCAATTCTTGTAATTTAGGGAGCCTTGATATTGCTTTCCAATTACAGGTTGGATTATGACTAATATGTTGCTCATGTTGCCATTGACTTGCGCAGCTGGACTCTTTTGGGAAGAGTGGAATGGCTGTTGGGCTTGGAATAGGACGCGCTTCCTGCATGGCTATTGTCGACATCGGTGAAAAGCTTAGAGACGACTCGCTTAGAGACATCATTTGTGTGCCAATGTGAGTGCTTTTATCATTGACGAGAAACAGTTAGTTGACAAGTTGGAGGGTGCAGTCCCTGTCCTTGTTCGATCGGTATGCATGCAGCCTTGGTGTCAGTAATTTTGCAACTTATTGCGAAATATATTGAGGCAATGCACATGCTTGTGGTTTGGATTTTTGGGTTACGCGACAAATGTCTAACCTTGAAGACCTACTTAGCACCACGAAAATGTGCTGAACATCAAACTTCAGCATTTAACTGCGTATTTTACAGGAGAACTGGCTAGAGGTGGCAGAAGAAATCGATGACGTATTTCTGGGTGATGCTGAGGTATAGGAATGTTCTTGAAAGTGGGAGTTAATAAAGAAAAATTCTGTAAGAAATCTCATTTTGAACTTAATTGTGACTCTGACCAGATGGTTTTGTTCTGACTTTGACTCTAATTCTGCAGTCAAGATGGTGATAAAAAATCGTGCTCTTGTGAGCCTTCAGCGCCTAGCTATTGTTCTCCGAAATTGCAATGCTGACTGTATTTGGTTTTTTCGTGCAAATCTGGAGAAGACCAAGCTTCGGAGAAGCAGGGCCATCGGGTGGAGACAATCCTCTTATAACGCCTGAGGGTCACTTTGTGTTGGATGTGGTCTTCACGACTCCTATTACGGCTGGAAACTTACCTATGAGCTGTCGAACTATTCGTCTCTGCAACTCACCATGTAATAAGTGATGTCGATTTTTGTGAATTCGTAAACCCAGTGCTTGAAGATTCAAATTTTGTATTTAGTGCTCATTTGTTGAATGGGCTTTTGGTGCAGCTGAAGTGGCAGAGAACTTGGAAACCATACCTGGAGTTATGGGACATGGTCTTGTGATAGATGTAGCGTAAGTTCCTCCAACTTGTTGAAGTTGACATGCCGATTTAACTTATTGCTTACAAACTCGGTACTAGGTAGACTAAAAATCTTACATGGCAATGATTTCAGGTGCTTGATCATTTTAGGGTTACCGGAATTAGCTTGTGTGATCATGATTGCACGTTAACCGATCATTTCATACGCAGTTCCTATATGGTGCGACAGTTTATGCTCTTTTGATACATACATGATTTTGTCTTTACCTCTTCTACATTAACCTAAGACATTGTACACTGACCCCTCTACTTGATGCAGGTCTGCGGTAGCTGCAGCAGGCCCAGCTGGGACGAGGATCAGAACACCATTGTTCCAAGCTGCCCTCACGTCTACGGAGTGAGTTAACCTTCGAGTTCGCATAGCAGTATACGTGGTGAATACATTCAGGAATTTAAGTTGAGTTCTTCCATGGAATTGTCAGCACACCTTACATCACTGAACACCATTGCAATAGAGGCTTAGCGAAGTTGGAATACCTATATTCATAAGGAGCATTCGACCTAATAGATTTGGAAGTTGGGATAAACTATTCAACATGGAATCAAAAAGATTCAGAATGATGGAGTTAGGTCTTTACAACATACTAAGTTACCTCATGTGTCTGTCTTTGCAGCCATTACCTCTCCAACTACTCATTTTGCATGTTACATACCAAGAATTCTTTCTAATTTTTTTGTGTTCTTTTGTAAGCTTGACCACAAATTATGATTTTTTTATTTCACAAATAATTCAAGGTTTCAATTAAGTCTTTTGTTTTGAGATAGTAAATGCATTGTCAAATTCTATTATTATAGCCATTATTACAAGGTAGCTAATTCTACAATTTTGAATGTTTGTAATTCATTGATGGTTGCAAATCATTGTCAAAATTAAAATTACTATATTTTATTTTATTATTTTATAATTATACAATAGTAGAGATCCATGTCATTTGGCACAAAAAAGTTGTAAAATGATTTGTTGTAAATAGTAATAAATTAGAGGTCTTTTTGCAAGTTATGCATGGCTTTTTGTTGGTTAACAATTTCTTTGATTTTGGCCAATGCAAAAGGTTTATTTTATTTTATTTTATTTTTTTATTTTATGTCTTTGTCTTATAACTAAGCTTCCTTATTCTATAGATGTTTGAATGGCACTACATCTCATTTTAATATTGGTGCACTTAATAAATCTAAAGTCAGCATTGGCACTCTCTTGTTTGACATTTCTATAACTCCAAATCATAAGTATTATTAGTTGGAAGACAATTACTTGGAACTAAAAATGTATATTAGATCTTAGCTATTAAAAAGATACAGAAGAATATTAATTCCACCAAATACAACTCTTTAAGTACCAATACTTTCAAGATTAGTAAAAATTGCATTAATTAAACAATCTTCAATGTTGTACTTGATTTCAACCATGATTTTGAAGTTTGATGAATCACAACAATAAATAAATTTAAAAGAAAGAAAAAAAAAATCACTTTAACAGGGCAATTGATAACAATTGTTCTTCTACTCCCCCTCCAACCACCCTGAGCCAAAACCTTCTTGAACTACACATACAGGTAGAGAAAAGAGGCAGATTCTAGGCATGTCAGCACAACATTTCATGCAAAGAAAAGAAAGAGAGGGTTAGCCTCACTGAAACAGTAGCCTGTTGAACGAAGCCCAACTTTAGCTGCCCACTTTTTCTAGATTAGTACTAGTTGCCAATTGGAAGCTCGTTATGTCAAATCTACACACACACCCGAAAGACTGCGGGTTAAAGGAAAAAGCATAAGGATAGACTCATCAAAGGTAAGTCATTGGTAATCCAGAAACTTTAAGGTATTGATCAGCTAAAACACGCCTTGACGACTGCTTCAAGGTTGAGTTAACTTGTACTTAATACTTCACATTCTCTCCCAACAAAAGATTCGTTTTCATGCAGAATCTAGACTTTGATCCTTACGGATCTGATCTAACCACCCTAGTGGTGATCTAGCCATTCAGGGGAGGGTGTTCGCAACCATCCGGCATCAGTTTATCATGAAGCTCTTGTGCTATTGCTAGAAATACGACTGCGAATATGTTCCCAGCAGCAGCTCGGGAGAGTTTTTGGTCTGTAGCAAGTCAGATACTTTCGCATGGGACATGCACTTCGAAAATTGCAGTGCGAGCAGCAACATAGAGTTTTGTGCTGACCCATCCAGCATACTAAGAAAGTGCTGATGGTATTAATCTTGTTTTTAGGACTTGAGCAAGGTTTGAAAAGAGTATGAAACCAATTTTGGTCGTTAGCGGGGGCTTCAATATTTGGAAGATACTCTTGTGATGGCAGTAACATATGCTGTCTTTCACCGGCCTCATGGGCTCTGCGTTGTGATCATGATAATCTATGACTAATTGCAGGATATGCGTTCAAAACGAGAGTAACTGAGAAAATCGATTTTTACAGCTTTGGCGTTGTGCTCTTCGAGCTAGTGATCGGAAAACGTGCCGTTAGTTTAGCCATGTTCGGAGAACCAGCCGACCATGTGTGATGGCTTCACTTAAGGGTTCAAACACAGAAGTACAAGAGACCTTCAACTCCTACTTAAAGTACGGTGAGTGCACGAAAAAAATTGATTGCCTTTCAGAGGATTGCACTTTTGTACATTGTTTCATCCTCGTGAACTATGCGTCAATGTAAAAGGTTGATTTCTGATGGATTTTTTTATACTTGACAGAAGACCCAAAGAAGGCACTGCACCGCACTCCTTTTTGAGCAGGAATCATACTTCTCAGGAACCGAGGTAATCAATGGCCTCCAACCTGAACTTCTGTATTGCCTGTCTATGATGAAAGTCCCCACCAGTCTGTAATCCTTATATCGATTCACCTGTCGATACCGTCGACTTCATCAATGTCTCAGTTAGATTATCCACCTTTGACTTCACGTCAACCTGCGAAGGTTTATGTGGTGTGAGGATGCTACAGCGCTTGATCATGTGATCGCTTCAGCTTCTGCTTCGCATTGTGGATCCAATACTTCAAAGTCTTGGGTGTTACACCTGGAACAAGGCAACGGTCATTTCTTGTGTGAGTGGCGCTTGACAGATACTTGAGAAGTTTTCAGAGAATACTGATCATTCCAAGTTGACGAGAGAGCAGCAGTTGCATTCGGGAGGCTGTTACCGATATCTTTGCAGGCTGCGGCGATATTTTCTTTGCGCTGGCCAACGATTGTCCATCCAGCGTGCTCAGCGTATGATTTCATCTTTTCTCGTTGTTCATCGGTCAACTGCGTCCGTTTCCTTTTAGGCTTTCCAGGGTGTGATCCATTCTGAGCTTGACCATTTGGTGCAGAGATTCTGTCTACTTGGAGCAGGTTGCTTTGGATGTGGAGGTGGGAAGGGGACAGCTGTAATTGAGCCCTTCTTCGATGCTCTTTATTCATGACCGGGCTTACCTCGGACGACAATCGGCCATGATCTGGAACACTAGGACGATCTCGAGAGCTCGCGCTTTGTTGAGTACTCGCCGCTGTCTGTAAAATGCCAATGCATTCAACAGTGGATAGCGTCACCTTCGAAATGTGATCCAGATTTTCGATGGAAATTTTCATCACAGTGTCAAGCTCCTTTGTGGCAAGATCATCACTCCCTCGTGGTGGATGATCTGCGGCAAGTAGGGGTAAAGCTCGCCCAGTGGCTTCCATGAGGTTAAGCGCAACGGTTTCAATTCTGCTCAAAGAGAGATGCAGATCATTGTTGATAAGTCGCGGCTGAACTGCATCTACTTCTCCAATGGTATCCAGTTCCTTGCCATTGTCCCCAACTAGTACACTTCGGTGGTAGCTGCGGTGACAGCCGCAAGCCATGCATTGCAAGGCCTCTTGTCCCTCTCTTCCTACATGTGCATTCACAGGCGCTGTTTCCGTAAATCCAGCTTAAGAGTTGCCAGAAACATCTACCTTTTCGGAGGAAGAGTAAAAGTGAAAAAGAAAAAGAACAATTTCAAATTCTCAATGGGTCTGATAGAAAATTATACCTCGTCGCATGAATTCACCGCAACCATCAACACAGTGGTTAGCAGTGTCAAGCGCTTGGTTCTTTTGGCACTCCTTGTACACCACGGTGCAAGTTCCTGATTTCGCTTGAAGGTTTGGCTGAGCAGATCGCTGGTCCATGGAGAACCCCAAGAGGTCGTCTTCATCCAGCTGTCCTCGAAAACGCGAGGTTGTGTTCTGATTCGCCCACTTTGCTTGTTCTTGGTCATCTCTCTGGTTGCCGGAGGTTTGATTCTCCCCGGGCTGAACTGGGTTGAGATCCCACCTGAACAATTAATGTCATTAACGGTACTGATACTGTTGGACACTGTTCCTTACATCATCGTTGTAACCATCGACATCCACAAGGAGGTGGGGCACATTTGCTCTGTAGATGATTGAGTATGTGCACCTGGCATGAAGTGCTGCAGAGCTAGGCTGCAAGGATCCGCCATAGCCCCTGCCACCAAGAAAGCCTTGAAATAGGATGGCTCCCTGGGCGGTCCCAGCATCTCCTGCACTGGCAGCATTGCAGTTGGTGACGTTCCCAGCGTGATGACCCGCTGATATTACTGGATTCATTGGGCCAACCTGCCATGGATTCCTGGTCGATGCTGCCAAGAACAGGTTCGCGGCCTCCTCCGCAGAGTCGCCATATCCTCCACGTCGATCGCAATTATAGTTCATGCTTCTTATCGCAATGAAGTTACGTTTGTTCTTTTATAAGGTCCCTCGAAACTATTCCAAGAGCTCAAAGGCCCCTAGGCTTGGAAGAGTGCTCGAGGATACCTGTGAAAGCTAACGGTGGTGAACTTTTATCTACTGTTGACCTTGAGGCTCACACCTGTCTGCAACCCACAATTAGTTCTACATTATGGTGCGTAAATGATTCAATCAGCTCTATCCTAGGCTTTTATAAGCCAAAGGCTGATTGGTCCTGCTCAAGCATGCAAGTCCGGTGGCCTGTGCACATCCGAGTGGGTATATATATCAATGGATGAATCTACTCACGTGCGCTTGAGATAATTAAAAAACATTGTCTACGTCCAGCGGTGGTCTTTCTAAACTGCATGGAAGCCTCACTCCGGCTTTAGCTTTCAGACACCATGACGACCGAAAAGGGATTACAGCGAAGGGGGGAAGTTTTTTGAATCTACCACAACTGCAGCTGTGAGTGCCCACAGTGAAAGGTGCATAAGCGCAACGTTCGAATCAATATCAGGAACAGCGTAGGAATTCTGTGCTGGGCTGCAACTGTGTGGAGATCTAATCATCAGTCAAATGTTGCGTTTGACCATGAAGATCGATCTGGGATGATGAGCTTGCAATCGGTAACGATAGAACACGACCCAACCAACTTACACGGGCTAGAAGTGACTGGGAAGATCTCCAGCAGATCGCTGCACCAAGTGAACCGTAAACCTACTCCCTCGGTATCTGCAACACTTCTTCCGTTTTGTGACCCACCTTCCTCATCCCACGCTATGTCAAAGTCAACCGAAGGCAGATGCACCACCGCCACTTGTTCGTTCGTTGTCTGTGTTTGACTTTTGTCGGTCTTGGCCATTCAGCACTGGCGTTGCGTCTCCTCCGATCCATGAGTGCCTTGGCTGCTTTGTGGGTTTCAGATCCATGCCCATGAATGTTGCTCACTCATTCACAATTGAATCTTTGCCAGGAAATCATGTGCTCCGTTTCATTCTGTTTTGAGTTCATTGTGAGATTTTATAAAAGCTGAGAGTTTCAAAGTCATTTCAAAAATTGTGGGAGCTTGGTGTGTTCTATTTGAAGATTCCTTTTGTTCTTTGGTGGCAGCAATGTAGCTCGTATCTTAATGTAGCAGCAGTAATATAATTGAAGGAAAGGTAGAATATGACTTTGTTGTGTTTGACGATTTTGATAATATCTTTGGAATAAAAACCAAAAAGTCTTCCACTTAGATCTTTTTATTTTTAACAAGATATAGTTAGGTAAATTATATTTATATTTATTTTTATTTTTTGCTCTATTTTTTATTAAATCATTAACATTTTGAAATATAAAATTTCTTACAATTTTTAGTTTTTTTTACTACATGAAATAAATTTCAAAGACACTTTTTAAATGTGTTTGTATGTTGTTTTTGGAAACAAAGAATATAATTGAATTTTAAGCTACGACCACATGATTATAAAAAACAGTAATAATAATAATAAAATAAATAGTGAAATAAATTTGATCAGTAAAAATACATATATATTTTTATAATAATTTTGATATAACAATCTAAGAATATATCAGAAAAATATATTTTTAATATTCAAAAAGTATATCTTTATTTATTTAAGTAAAAGATAAGATAGATGTTTTAGATTATAGAAAATACTTACACTAGGTGACTTCGATTTTTTTACTAATTAAGATGTAGACATTTTTAAATATTTATTTTAAAGAGCATTGTTATTTTTTTATACCAAATTTTGGAATGACTGCTGTAACTTATACTACAAAGAGATCAAATATTAATTGTAAAGCCTTAAATTTTTTATAGTTATGTCTTTATATCTAGAAACTCACTTTGAAAGGTTTTAGTTAAAAAGGTTATATGACAATCTCTTACTTGGTGAAAAATAAATTTTCTTTAGAAGGCTTGAAACTATAGAAATAGTAAAGAATAAAAAGATGGCATGCTACAAAAAAATAAACAAAAATAAATAAATAATCTATAATAATTCTAATTTTAAAAAATTTCATATCTTAATTTTGAGAGTTACGAAAAAATAACATTATATTCGAAATCATTTTTTACACATTTTGGATTTTTTTAATAAGAATCTACTCTTGGGATAGACCAACCACTCTTTTTAAGAGACAAGACCATTCATGCCATATAGAAAAAAATGCACTTTACCTTGTCTTCTCAGTCTCTCTTAAAAACATTAAATATAAACCAACTGAAGGATGTTACTTAATTTCAACTAATTACAAGCTTTAAAAGTTAAAAGCTCTTGATTTTAACTTAAAGATCTCTTAAATTTGTTGCAAATACAATCTTTTTATTTATTGAGATTGAAGTATTTTTGACTTTTGGATTTTATTGACTTTCAAAGTTTTTTTGACATCTTGTACTTTTATAATAGAAAATAACCAATTTGAATCTTTTAAGCACATCCTTTATGGTCTAATAAACGTTTGTATTGCATATAATGACAACAACTTTGTAAAATAAGAATAAATTAGTAGTGGTTGGTAATTAGTTTAGTCTTAATATATTTTAAATATAAATATAAATAAATATATATATATATATATATATATTAATAAATGATCATTAATAAAATCAATGATCATTTGAAAAATATTAATAGTTGTAAATTTTATCATGAAATATTTTGATAACTTGATTGCAATTTTAAGTTTTTTTAAAAATTTATTTTTAAAAATTTTATTTACTTTTAACGTTGACTAGTATTTATTAATTTTTCTGTTTAAAATAGAATTAATTTGAAATGAAGATAATTAATAAATTTAACTCTATGACTACAAGAATTTATAAAAAAATAATAATATTCTATAAAAAATATGGATACATTATGGAATCACATTATGGTGTATAAATTGAATTTTTTATTAGATTTCTTATTTTTAAATTATATTTTGATAATTTTTTATAATTAAAAAATTATCTCTAACATAAAAATATAATTTTTATTATTTTCATTGCTTAGAAAGTAAATAGTATAGACTAAAATATTCTTTAGTTTCAATATAAAGTTTTTTTTTAAGTAAATATTTCTTTAATATTTATTAAATTCAAGACTTTTTTATTTAATTTATTATTTACTTAGCCAAGTGAAAAAAAAAAAACTAATTTACAAACTAACTATCTCAAATAATTTGGAACAAACTCTATAGCTACTAAACTCTTCAAAAAAGATTATATATATATATATATATATATATATATTCTTTTAAATTACACAATTTAATATCACCTTTGTGTCAAGGACAAGAACTCGATGAAAAAACAATTCAAACAAGTGAGCATTTACTCAAAGAGAGATAACAAAATATATATAAACAAGTATATATATTGAAAGAGAAACTGGAATGGCTATTGCCAAAAGACAAGAAAACTAGAGACCCTTGAAACAGACTAGAAGGAAGAAAGGAGTTGACAAGAGTGAAGAAGCCTTCACTCTTGTCTCTATATATACTATCTAATTAAGAGCTACGTGGCGACATTCTATAGGACCTCCAATATGTATTGACTTTGTAGGGCACATGCCTTGACTTACAAGGCAAGTTTTTCTACTTGTGGGCCACATAGTTAGCTTGATCTTTAAGCTAACAACATGTGTGGCACATGGCCAACTTGTTGACCACGTTTCTAATCCAAAAAGTCAATTAAAGACACCTATGAAGTCAAAGCAGCGTCTAGGAAGTTTCTAGGAAGCTTCCATATTAAATATTATAGAATTAACTTACTTTTACCTACTTTTATTTACTTCTACCTATTTCTATATGTAATTATTAGCTTACATGATTATGGCCGTGACACTTTGTGAGGCCAAATTTCACCACTTGATGAAACCTATGCCACACAACAAGTCCAAGAGGTGGAATTGGAGAGCTTCCAATTGTATAATTGTTAGATTAATTTAAATCTTTATATTGAAAATTCAATTAGTTTATGCCTTCCAAGCAATGGTTACCAATATTAAATTAATATGGTAAATAAAATTTACTATGCAAATACAATAAAAATAATTAACTAAATTATTACTATTAATTAACCATAAGAATAAAACTTAAGTTTGAATTAAAAGTTAAGTTAAAAGTTAAGTTAAAAAAAAGTTAAAATTAAAAATTAAGATTAAAAGGTTAAATTAAAAGTTAAAATTAAAAGTTTAAGTAAAAAAGTTAAGTTAAAAGTTAAGATTAAAGGTTAAGTCAAAAGTTAAAATTAAAAGTTCACTTTAAAAGTTAAAGTTAAAGTTAAAAGTTAAAGTCAAAAGTTAAAGTGAAAATATTAAAGGATAAAAGTTAAACTTAAAATTTATTAGCCAAAGAGTGAAATGTGGAGCTTACAATTGTGAAGATAATAGTAAAAATAAAGTGAGAGAGGTGAAAGCGAAGGTACCTTGACAACACCTAAGGATTGAAGGCAGCGACCCCCCTTTACTCCTAAATTTGCCAAAATTTGTAATCAGTTTTAATTTAAATGATTCTTAGCTTGTTGCAAGGCTGACTTGAAGACGCTTTTGATCCAATAATCTTCGTTGCAATCTAATGATCCAATCATGAGAATTCCTCCTTTGAAGTTGAGTGATCCAAACTGCCATGGTGACTAACCCTCTTCACTTAGAAATTCACTAAAAATTCAGATTTTCTTCAAATTCACCAAAACTTATGTCTTTCAAAGCTTAGATTATAAAGATTGATGCTCCCAAAATCTCAAATAAATCAAATCACCATGCACTGAGAAATGCCTTTCCAAACTTGATTGATTCAAACTGCAAAGGCAACCGACTCCCTCAAACCCAAAAATTCACCAAAAATTCCTTCTTACTCCTAATCAAGCAAGTCTTATCTTGTTGGAAAGCTAAAAACAAAAGCTACAACTATTCAAAATCTTACATTGAGACAACAGAAATTGAGTGTCTGATTGAAGAAAATCCGAGGCCCTTGAAACCCTTGGGGTATCTGGAAGGCCGAGGAAATATCTACCTCAATGAAACATATTTTAAAACTTAATGACCATCCTTCACAATGCAAAATCCATACATACACAATCACAAGGTTCACAATGAGAATTAAAATCTAAATAAAATTAAGATTAGGGTTTTGGCCAAATTTTGGCATACTTTTGCCCTTCATCCAAAAGAGGAGAGAGAAAGGGCTTGGAAAACCAAGCCTCTTATACAATTGAGTGGAGGCTCATAGAAGGGTGGCTACATCTCCACCCTTGATTTTTAAGAGCCCTAATCTAGATCTACGGCTTTCATTCATCCAAGAGCCAATCTCGTTACCAAGGCTAATGGCTCTTATAAGTGGTCAAGAAAGCATTTTTTTTTTTGTAAATCTAACTTCACAATTGTGTTCAAAACACCTTTTTAAGCTTAGATCGACTACTGACATGCCTCAATCCAAGCTCAATTATAATTTTCATGGAAGTTTTTACTTACAAGGATCTTGGCAATTTTTGTGAAATTCTTCAAAATGAGAATTTCATTGCTTTTCTTGTATTTTGAAGGAGAGGTTGGTGATCTTGTTTTCTTCACTCCACAAGGTAAATCTGGTGCCACCATTGCATTAAAAAGACTCCCATTAAGTAGAAGAATCACCATTCCGCTTAAATTTGTCGAATTTGGAGGAAAATCCAAAATTACCATTGCTAACTTCCCTAAATCTTTTAGAGAATTATAATTCCAACTCCTAAATCATGTGAATGATTATAGATGCACTCATAGGCTTTTAGTCAACCCTTATAGTAATGACTAACAACCTCTAAATTATTAAACTAACTAAGTTGCTATTCTAATTTTCTAACTCTTATCACTTTAGTCCAATTAACGTAATTCTAGGAATTAGGCTATGATTTATACCATCAAGGGTTGTAATCCTAAAAATTCTATAAAACTGAATTCCACTTATATAAATCCTAATCTAACATATTTAATTATCATAAAATAGGAAAATGAAATAAAAAATAAATTTTAGAGCATAATTGAGAGCTCACAACCTTCAAAATTGAGTTTTTGTTTCTCTTGTTTTTCTTTATCCTACTTTGTTAAAAAATTAAGTAAATTTGGGATACATATTCTACTTGCATGTCTAATCTTTAGGCCACAACTCAATATTCACAACAATTGTATATCGTGATATATTATTAATCCATATTTTTTATTACTTCTAAAGTTATTCTTTTAAATAAAATTAAAATAAAATTTCTATAAATATTTTAAAATATAAAATTATTTTAAATTTTATAAATAAAAATCTAACTAAAATTTACATTAAAAATTCAAAAGATATGTAATATTATCAAAATAAAGATACTATACACTCAATTATAAATATACATCTTTAAGAAAATATTTAAAATAAAAAATATATAATATCACCTATTTAATAATTTCCAAATCTTCTACGTAATACTATAAAACATAATAGCATCTAACACATAATGGATGTGACTTGCTAAGTCTTTAATATAATATTCTTTTGAATAACCTATGATATGGACCAATTAATTTTTTTTGTAAAATAAAAATTAGCAAATTGGATAGTAAAAAATGGTCAAATTATATTCAAAGTTTTGTTTTAAAATGTATTTTTAAGAACTGTAAAAAAATTGGCACCAAGTATTATCTTATCAAAATTTTTTATTTTTTATTTTTTTTAAAAAAATAAGGTAATCTCATTGCATTAACACAATTATATAAAAATAATTCTACATGTACATCTTTCCTCTTTAGTGTTGTTATATCTAGTAAAGAAACAATTAAATTCTAATAAAAAATAAAAAGAATGTTATATGATTATGTTATCTTATTTTTCTTCTTCTTTTTTAAAGAAGTTATTTTTATCTAATATTAGTTATATTTATTAATAAGATTTGGTTTATTTTTTTTTACAAATCTCTTTTTGATATCTTTTTATATTAGTTTTTTTATATTTAGAAAATCATATTTATATTAGTTAGTTTATATAATAATCATTCTATATTATCTATTTAAAATTACTTTTTTCTTTTATTACACATAGTTCACAAGAAATTTTTTGTGATAAGTTTGAAATCACTATAAGTTTTTTGAATCTTAAAAAAACTTTGATTGCAAAAATAATTTATTTCTAAAAATATTATTTCCATTGTTCTAAGCATCTAAAGCAAATGATCATCTTGTAAAGAAGTAATGTGGTCTAATCTTATATCTTTCTTAGTTGAAAACATTTCCAAAATCAGTATATGAAAGATCCAATGTTTGAGTTGTACATAGGAGGCAAAACAACAAATAATTAGTACTAATCTTTGTTTTCTATTTATTAACTACTGTTCCTTTATGCCATGTGTGTCACAACAATATGGCTTCTTTTGGGACTCTAATCTAAAGCCAAGTCTTCTATTATTTAGAAATAATATCTTATTCTATATTATTATTATTATTGGACGGAGTTCCAAACACAATTGACACGCCCTTTAACTTGTTCTATCTTATTTGGTTGAATATATTATTAGACCATCTCTATCATTTTATTTATAAGTAAGTGGATCAAAAAACAACTTTACAATAAATCTACTTTTTTGGATAATAAGATGTGATAAATATATTTAAAAAAAATCTTGTTCATATTCAGAAAGGCCATGTGAATGGACAATTTTGCTATGTGACATAAATTGTTTTAAGTCCATATCAAAAATCTTATTAGGCCTTCAAATTCCATCCTTACATAGGAGAGCTGCCCTGTCGGCTGTGATAGAGTGGGGGCCTAGAAGAAATTTTGATTATGGAATCACAAAACACAAGAAAGGGGGAGGTAGGATTTGATTTGATAGGCATAAAGCAAAGCTCATACAAGTTCAGTGCTCAAAGTTTGTGGGATAAAACTGGGCAAAATACATTGCAAATCATCTGTCCAGATTTCTTTTTTTTGTCTGTATCTTCATCAAACTCTTTGCAGTTGCCCAGATTGCCATAAAAGGTGTTAAATTCTCTGCACCTTTCAGAAATGTAACATTTAAATTCTTGGACTTTCAGAAACAAACTGACCCAAAAGCATTTGCCTTACATGGGACCTGACATATTGTGGCTAGATGCACGTGATTATTGGATTGGCAGAGGGGAGAGATGTCTTGAATGAGGCCTAGCAGAGCTCCACCATTCACTGTTGAAATCCAAGGGCAGAGAAGATGGAAGAACTCATGAGAGAGTTGGTAACCGCCGCCTGCCTATCATTAAAAAGTATTAGTCTAGAGCCGCACCAGAGCCTAAAAACACTCCTCTTTGTCGAGCGATGTACAAATTGTGAGAGGAAAAACATTACAACTCAGGAAATGAGTTCAAGGCTGCGTTGTTACCATCGATAACTGGAGCTAGAGGATATAAATGGAGCTCATTGAGTCGAAACACACAGCTAATGAGAGTGTCAATCAGCCTTTGGAGTTACTGCAAGATGAGTACAAAATTTGAGCAAATCTTTTCCTTCATTCATCTAAGCACAAAGTGTGTTTCTTTTGCCAGCCTCTCAATTACTAAGTTCATACTGATGACTTGTAGTGTCGCCCAAACGAAGGGGCATGGTTTTCCCTAATAAGCATCAGCTCATGCTTTAATTAAGTGTTGACAGAGAGCATGCCTGACTTCAGAATAAACGAAGTGTGTGCAAAACTGAATCCAGATGAGCATATGACATTTTAGAAACCTGCAAATACAAGTGATATCACATTTGGAATCAAAGCTCCGTGGATCGAACAGACAGAAAACCCTTTTCAAGTACAAACTATGTCTAAACTTGGTGATTTTGAACTTTACAAGACAGAAAGCTGGTTGTCCAAATGTCACAATCTTGCATTTCTTCCTTTTTTAAATGATCGCCCGCTTAAGTCTCCATGTACATATATCTACAAGCCCTGCATACTAGTGCTGAACCTTCAAATCTCGATTTCAAGTTGTCCTTGAAACAAGTTTGAACTCTTCTTTTCTCAGTTACCCATCAGAATGAGCTAGTTGCAACTCAATCCAAGAGACGAGATCTTCAGTCAACTATTAGGGCTTCCAGGTGTTGCTAACCATTGAAAAGAATGAAGGGAACCGTAGTTTATACATCCACAATTTGGCAAGCTTCTAAACCTGATTTATTTTCTGTAGAAAACCTAATTCTGGCCCAGATATGGGTCATCTTCGAAAGAGTCAAATGGTAGTTGTCCACTTGGAGAAGCGATCTCTGGAAAAGTTGATTGCAACTCCCCAGGTTGGTCAAAAATCTGATCATAAGACAATTCTACGTAAGGGCTAGGATTAGCCGAGCTAACGCTTAGGTTATAGTTTACGACTGGCAAAGCTTGAGGCTGACTTGGTGGGAAGCCTTGCCCTCCCGGATCAAATACCACGTTTGATCTCCTATAATCTACAGAGAACGGGGTACCCAACCTGTACTGATCGTAATGTAAAATTGGGTCATGAAGTTCATCAGCATATAAATCCTCGTGTTCCAAGTTCAGGGTGGGGCTTGTAAGTTCCGGATATTGCCTTGAGGTTTGTGAGTTCTGTGGCTGTACGGGATCAAGGCTTTGATCACTCCTAGATTTTGGGCGTGACCACTGAGGATAAATTAGGGGTTGCTGGGAGGGCCTCAAACCCTGATGTGGACCAGATTGGTTGCTGCCACTACTACCACCACCAGGTTGTAGTAAACCAGTAGATCTAGGATAAGGTTCATAAGCTTCTGGAGCTGCAGTGACACTAGACATCTGATGAGATGGAATAGAAGCTAATGGTGAGGAATGAAAAGGTACTGATGCTCCAGCTACTGAGGATATGCTACGAAAACTCCTGCTCACAGGGGCTGGTTGGGTACTATGACCGGAGAATTGCGAGGAGGACGAAGTGCAGGTGGAAGGAGTGGTTGCAGAAATTGAGATAGAGGAAGAGTCTGGTTGCGAAGCAGTGGTGGAACCCACTGCAGAAGCGGTGGGAGGTATGATTCCGTCGGGAAAATTGAGCTTCGCTCTTAACCCTCTGAATCTAATGGCGGCTGCATGTACCAAGGAACGCAAACCAGTTACTGAAATCCATGAAGAACCACATTCCTGTAGTACCAAGAAAAATCATCAATTGATACCAGCTGCAATTGTGAGCAACGAAGGTAACCTCTTACCTTTGTCGTAAGCCATCGCTGCCTCTTCGGCTGTGTTGAAGGTCCCCAGCCAAACTCTAGCTGCTTTCTGAGGATCACGAATCTCGGCGGCCCACTTCCCCCAGGGCCGCTGCCTTACCCCGCGGTACCTTCGTTTCTTCGTAGGCGGGACAGATAATTCTTGAGTCTCTGATGGTCCCTCCTCCCTGGCTCCCTGTAGATGACTGCCATCCCCAATCCCAGCTTGATCCAATTGTTCCAAATTGCCACCCCATGGTCGAGGCGCATCTGTTACAGCACACCCATGAGAATCAAGTCCTGACCTCCGCACCATGACCACAAATCCCGCTCTATCATAGCTCCTAGGAAACTAAATGAAAAACCGATTACTATGAGGAAAGACTGCAGTTATTACAATTAATTATTGACATGGTGTCTCACCGACCACGAGAGCGGTTACAGTGATTTGCACGCTATGTACACTTGACATTCATAAACACTCCGTGGCGAACACCCTAACGCTTAGATATAGTAAAAACGTCTAACCTTGGATTCCTACATCCAGGGTCCCACCACCCATGGCATCCTAACCTTCAAAAAATCCCCTCAGCTGCGCAAATTAAGAACCATAATTCTCCAAGAAGCTTGCAAATTCGCAGGATAAAGACAACTAAAACTAACTGCACGAAATTCCACATGACCCGAAAACGCTCGACATGCTGTACATAAACTGTTGCGAATCTAATGTGTCAAGAGTTAACGGGCTGAGAAGATTCTCGATGCCGGCGAGCTTTTTAGAATTCTCATGCTCAGTACTGTGATCACAAATTGAACGGGTTACTTTGAGTTACAGGAACACCTTTAAGGTTCTTGACTGGACGAACACCCGATGACTGCTGAAGGTAGCTTCAAAAACCACGTTGTCATCTAGAGCAGACCCAGCTAAATTTGCGCAACTATTTGCGCTAATCTGAGTGCAGCGTACCTTCATTTGTGGGAGTGGACAAATGCAGTGGCCTGCTGAAATCAGAAATCCTGCCAACCTGATCCTGGCTTGGAAAAGTGTCTTGAGTGAGGCTTGGACTGGTGCTGTGAGTTCCAAATCTCTCAGATTCCTCCCCAGTAGCATCTAAAAGTACTGGAGCCCATGTCACCGCACTCGCCTCCGTCACATTGACATATGCTGTTGCGCCTATTTTCTGTTCCTTAATACCCATACTGGCGTCTACTTTATGTTTTGTGCTGAGCATGCTTGGAGCCTGCTCAGACCTCGTTTCAGCGTGGCTTACCAGCTCCCGAGTAGGACTATCTCGGTGCCGCTTTCGACATGTAATTGCTGCATCTTGTGGGATGTTTTCGGGATGCTGTGATCCGGTAAAAGCCTGATCAGGCCTTGCGACGCCGGCTTGCGTGAGTGCGGACACCATCAAGGACACCTCCGAGGCCGAACCTGGGCGCACCCCCGCCCACTTAGGGCTGGAGGAACCACTGGTGTCAGGCGGATCACTGGGCGGATCCAGTTTGTGTAATAATCGGCTTCTTCCTGGCAGTGCTTGCAGCCAACACATGATCACAATCAGTTACGTTCGTCTGCCCGCCACGCTATTGAGCCCAGAAACAAAGTCGGAAGCTTGATTGTCCAACGTAAGCCCTGTCATGAATAAAGAGCATCGAAGAAGGGCTCAATTACAGCTGTCCCCTTCCCACCTCCACATCCAAAGCAACCTGCTCCAAGTAGACAGAATCTCTGCACCAAATGGTCAAGCTCAGAATGGATCACACCCTGGAAAGCCTAAAAGGAAACGGACGCAGTTGACCGATGAACAACGAGAAAAGATGAAATCATACGCTGAGCACGCTGGATGGACAATCGTTGGCCAGCGCAAAGAAAATATCGCCGCAGCCTGCAAAGATATCGGTAACAGCCTCCCGAATGCAACTGCTGCTCTCTCGTCAACTTGGAATGATCAGTATTCTCTGAAAACTTCTCAAGTATCTGTCAAGCGCCACTCACACAAGAAATGACCGTTGCCTTGTTCCAGGTGTAACACCCAAGACTTTGAAGTATTGGATCCACAATGCGAAGCAGAAGCTGAAGCGATCACATGATCAAGCGCTGTAGCATCCTCACACCACATAAACCTTCGCAGGTTGACGTGAAGTCAAAGGTGGATAATCTAACTGAGACATTGATGAAGTCGACGGTATCGACAGGTGAATCGATATAAGGATTACAGACTGGTGGGGACTTTCATCATAGACAGGCAATACAGAAGTTCAGGTTGGAGGCCATTGATTACCTCGGTTCCTGAGAAGTATGATTCCTGCTCAAAAAGGAGTGCGGTGCAGAGCCTTCTTTGGGACTTCAGTGAACCATAAACGTTTGCAGTTACTTGCTCGAACAGCACAACGCCAAAGCTGTGGATTTCGGTTTTTTAATCCACTCTCGTTTTGAACGCGTATTCTGCAATCAGTCGTAGATCAGTACATTCAAAACGAAACTCCTATGAGATCGATGAATTGAGAAGCGTAAATAACTGATATCACAAGAGTAGCGTCGACGTTTTGATGTCCCTGCCAAACCAAAAATGGAAGCCTCTATACAATCCAAAACCTTAATCAAGTCGTACAACAAGATTGAAATCACCAGAACTTGGTGAATATGTTCGATGGGTCAGACCCAAATCACCATGTGGCTGTTGCACCACTGATCAAGCTTCAGCACCACGGATCAATATAGGTCACTAGCTTCTTATACGAGGTGGCGTATATTATCTGTCAAGAGTACAACATTCACTCTTGCTCCTCGTCCAGATTTCTCTATTTCAAAAGCGTCGTGGACTAACCTTCAGAGCTAGCTATTTGAGCGGGAGTGCCTGAGCCTGACGTGAACGTACACAGTAGAGTATCGATCTGGAAGTCCACTCAGTAGAGACGTTGTGAATTGCGTAACCCTATTCTCTGCTGGTTACTCGAACCTTAAGCTGCACCGACCTTCGCCAAACCTGTAGACTTTCAATAAATTCACCAACTTCTTGTCCAGGTGTTCTTAGGTCGATCAAAGACCTGGTCCTTATGCATGAGGCAAATAAAGACTTCATTAATCCAAAATTATGCCTCCGGTGGTCAACTGTAAGCTCCTTTCGGTTGTTGCCGCATTTGGATACATGTGCACAGGCTCCGACCACTTTCCTCTCACGTCAACCCCAAACATCTCAAGTGCGCAGTACAAACGACACAAAAGCAACCCTTTGGTGAACCCGGAAACAACACTGCACCCGAAACCCCCATACGGTTACAATCTGATGCTGACGCAGTTGACCCAAGAGCCTGGTTTTTCACCAACTCCTCTGACGACAACAGGCTTACCACAGCGCACCCACCCAAACCTTGGTTCCAACCAGTACAACATTTTACTACAACATATCCTTCTCATGCAGATTCCCTTTCCATCTGCGACTTTCCACATGGGCTGCTGCCGCTGCTGCTCCAGGGTGCCTGCAAACGTGATTCCAAAAAGCTCCAGGCTCTATCTCCAGAGCGAAGCCTCGACTTGGTCCCCTGTAATCAAAAGCTCATTGCACCTTCACTCGGGCCCTCGCAGAATCCCACGTACTCTCCAGGGGGGGGGGGTGTTGGGAGGGAAAGGGAGAATGTTTATGGGGTCCTTAATTTAGTGAAGGTCATCGACAAGGAGGAGTCGGCGAGAGGGATGGCAGCAGCTTCATCCTAAGCGGCGAGCGTAACTAAAATTGCGGTGACAGAAAGAAAGACGTTATAGGACCAGAATTGTTAACTAGCTATTCTTGACGTGCACGGAAACTGGGCCGTGCCTGCGTTGTAAAAAAAGAGGGCTAATGCCAGAGAGGACCTACCAACCCCTAGATCTTTTTCCCGTTGTCATGAGCTTGTAAATCTTGTGACAATTGGCAGCGCATGAATACATATTACTCCTCCCATCATCCCCGTTGATACAACAGCCCTTTGACCTTCTGATCTCCACCTCACATGGCCACAGCTCCCTTCTGACTGACTGCGAGACTCCCCTCCTGCTACACGCCTACACATGAGCAAGCCTAGATTGCATTCTCCATTCAATCTAACCTGCTCTACTCAGCTCTTATGGAATCGTCTAGAACACACGAGCACCTGCTGACGAGGTTAGCGCCGTAGACTGCTTTAAACTATCTCAATGATATGTGATCCTGTTTTATCCTTCTTCCTTTCTCCCTTCCCTTTTCCCTCCTCCACTCTTCATCTAAGTTCATTTAAAACTCAACTTAAATAAAATCTTCATATCAGATATGCCAGCATCAGATACCAACATCAGTAAAAACTCGTATGTCCTGTTTAGTTTTACTTTTCCAGTCTGATATCAAGTTCATAACATGACACACCACTCATTTCATCTTATTTTATTTTATTAGCTACAACAAACTTTGTTTGAAAATTGTCAAGCCCACTTGGACAATGGAGGGGTGAATTGTCAAGAGGTGTTGGAAGTAGTACATGAAGTCTGCCGTATTTTTTAATCACATAAATCTCAAGCTTCCCATGTTCATACCTTCAGCTATTGAAACTTCAGGTTTGAATAATATGTGCTTGGACTAATATGTGAAGGGAATATTTATTGAGCTCTTCTTGGACTACTAATAATTTTAAATAAATAAATGCATAGATAGCTTTCTTCCACCCCCTTTAATTGAAGACTTTGTTGCTATATTTATCCCTCACCCCTCAGCATTATGATTTTGTACTTTTCTGCTTTTTCTGTCAATTCTTGACTGGTTGAGCTGTAATTCAACTTTGCATCCTCTCCATCTGAATGATAGTACATATTGCTTGTTGGAAGTTAGAAAAATGAATGTGTGTAAATATGTATATATATATGTATATATATATATATATATATATATATAGTATTCAATAACCTTGGGATAAGAGCAATAAATACACAGCAAAGGAGTTGGAAAATGCTTCCTCTCCCAGAGATTGTACTTGGGGCTGCACCTGCCAAGATCTACTATTCCACAGCTTTTGACTGAGAATATGCAAAAATCTTGATAGACTTTTGGGTCAATTTGGCCTGCAATATAGAATTTCAAAAATTGAGAGTGACTAAAGTTTTTGGTCTACAAATTCAACCTTCAAATCCCTACTATTGAGCACAAAAGATGAAGCAGCTCATCATCTTGTTGATGCCAGCCTTCCAACAATGGACTTTTGCCTTTGGACCACTTAAAAAGTGTGGAAAAATATTTAATAAAAAATAAAATCCCATGAAAAATTGTCTGATGAAGTTATTTTTTAAAAATAAAATAAAAAACAAAACAAAACAAAAGTATACAGACAAACAGCCTTTTCCATTCTATTATTTTATTTCTCTTATGCTTGCTGAACATGAATGGTGTGTTGGTTCTTTATTCTTTTATTTTATTTCTCTTGTACTCACTGAACATGAATGTTGCATTGGTCTTCCTGAATTTTCTCAACATGGTAGCCATGGCTTTGAGATGCTTGCTATGATTTTCTCAGGAGAGTCTGTAGCTCCACAACCCCCCCCCCCCCCCCCCCCCCCCATGATTATCCAATGCCACAAGACAGCAAGACAGCAAAGTTCAAAACTTATGCACATTAACTTTCATAATAAATGATAATGATAATATTAAAAGAATATATTTTTAAAATAAGATCCCCAACAAACAAACAAACAAACAAAAGCTAAAAATGAAAAGAACTTGAGACTTGAAAGAAAGGCCACCATATGTCTGATACTGTAAAGTTGTGTATCAAGAAAATATTCAACGTTACAGTATCAATAATATACACAACTTTACAGTATAAAAAATTGCTGCCCGTGATACGAAATAATCGACGAACCTGAGTTGGAATCGACAAAGCAAGTGAGGGTGAATCTTTGGAATATTTTGATGAATGAATGCACAAGCTCATGCTGCAAAGCGCAAAATACGTTTTTGTTGTGGTGTTTGTGAGTCTTCCTGAATAGCGGAAAGAGATTCATCAACCATAAAGTTGAAAGGACAAGGGAGAAGCTAGAAAACCAACTACGTACTCGCACAGAGCTTTGGGTTTCCACCACATCACAGCGCTTTCAGTCATCGTGTGGAAATCTACACCCACGGTTCCTGTTCGTGAAAGAGAGGAGAATGGATCCGCTTTATTTCCTCTTCTTTAATCCAAGAGCACAGGAATTGGCGAAAAGCAGGACCCACTTCCGGAACATGAATGGACTCTCCAACGACTTGAACCAAAACTGCTGGATCTATATCCTCAAACAGACACCTGATGAGGAACTTTGCGGATGTCCTCAAGATAGCGTGAATTTGCTAAGAAAAGTTCGGTTTAACTTCCATGTAAGGAATGTCTCCCAAGGTTACTGTTCCTACATGTAGAAGCCTTGAAGCTTTGGCTTTCGTCACTTTTAATATTGTGGACGGACGATAAGTAGAGCAAATACAGAGCTCGGATTTTAGCAAACACCGCTGTAGATTCGGATATTCGAGAGTTTCGTAGAAGCAGACAGGAAAGATAGAGGGAAGTTGTTAGTTTGTTATTGACCCGCTAGGTGGGAGTGCGCTATTTGTCCAGGTTGCTGTACTCCCGAGCATGGGCACGATGCTGCCGTCGATTGAATGGAATTACAATGCTTGAGTACGTGCCGTTACAGTATGACCCACACTGTTCCTGTGATCTGGAAGCACCGTGCAGTTGGGTTCGGCTTCTAGAATGTATCCTCCTTAACGACTAGTAGCAAACAGGAAATCTGTGTCGAAGCCATCGCAAGTCGCAGGTGCGAAATCGGTGGTTTTCTCAGGTTTCCGAGCTGCCAGCCATCCTAGAAATAAGCCAAATTAATCGCTTTCTGTAATCGTTTCCGATAACTCTCATCTCTTTAATGGCAGGTTTGAATTGGGATACCGTTGCGGTTGCTGCACGACATGCCAAATAAACCTTCCTGATGTGTAGTGAATAGAAAACGAGATCGGATGTTTCGGACCTGCTTGAAGGCTTGCTGCCCTTTAATTAAAGATTCCTGATAACCCCCCATTCTGATGTTGCTTGGATGCACCAGATAATCATGGCACCAAGGCACGTCAATGACCAAAAAAATCAGGAGTCGATGCGGTGCTCCGTTTGCCCTGTGTGCCAAGCCCACATCAGTTTATGTATCGCGAAGTTCATAAGTTGGTGGTAGATTTTGTGTGCCCCTGCTTAGATTGTTGACTTGGTCACCTAATCTCACCACCGGTGTCTGTCTGTCTGTCTGTGCCGTGTACGTTTTACAGGACTTCCGTGGCAACCGCGGCGTTCTTATCACTGGTCGATGTTACGGTCTAACAGGGGTTTTCGATCCATTGATTACGTGTGTTGGGCTGATGTGTCGCCATTATCCAGCAAAGTCCTGGGGTTTAACTCTCACGAGTGACTTTAAATGAAACTGTAAGTCAATATTTTAAGAGTCAAATTCTGAGAAACACATGGACTCCGCCGCAATCCCTCCCTATGATGGGCTACTTCCTGAAATCATGGTAGCACATGCTAATAGCCTTATGAATATTTATCAATAACCCGCCCCACGCCCAAGCTCGTTTTCTCAAATCTTCCTGAAACATCGGCCTTTGTCAGTGTATGAATTTCAGACTTATGCCCTTGTGAAGGAGGCACTGCAACTCACTCCGCCGTCATTTTGTGTCGAATACTGCGTGAGATACATGGGTATTTTTCTAACCACCTCCCCTTCAGTAATCTGATTGTTGTGTTTTTTTGGAATTCTGAATCGGGAGGTAACTAGCGTGATGCATGTAATCGCCCATCAAACAGGGGATGTCCTTGAGTAGATTTTGCCAGGCTGAGATATTCGATAGAATGATGCTAATTTTGCTTCGAATTCGGCAGGTCTTCGTTGGTGCACTAGCAACGCTGGAACCCGTGACTGAATTCGGCAGGTCTTCGTTAGACCATTCTAGGTTTCAGAATCAAAATGTTTGCGTACCTTCTCGACTCCGTGATGGGCCTTCGGTAACCGCCTGAAAGGAGAGTTGAGTGCACCAGCTTTAGGAGGCAGTTGCAGGCGGCTTCCAGCCAGCAAAACCTCCACAAACAATGCTGTAGCTCCAGCGGTGCACAATCTCTATCGGTGACAATCTGTGCAAGGCCACAAAATCAATCTACACAAGCATGTATCGATTGAGGTTTACACAGCAGATCTTGCAGAAATGTTTTTGGGAATATGTTTATTATCGTCTGTGTAGATACTTTCTAAAATTCCCCTCCTGAGAAGTAAAATAAGTCCAGCTAAGAGAATCAAGAGTCACATCAGTCAAATTATTTATATCACCTTCATGTTCATGACAAAATCAAGATCATATCAAACCCATTGTCATACATTAAATGAGAATTTAAGTCCACAAGCTCCTTCACATTATCCCATGTTCGTAGATCGAACTTACACTAGATTCGACTTCTGAACCATACGTCAGAAAAGATGGAAAAAGATGGTACTTTAATTTGCCACCCTATCCAAGGTTGATTGCTTCCGCAGTAGGTCATCCTGATTGAAGAAAAAACAGATGACTGAACGTTGAGATTGTATCTGTACATATCAAGGTATATGTACAAAGTAGTACTGCAAACCAGCGAAATTACACACTGACTGAGAAAATCTGGCATGAACGATTAAAAGATTCACATACTTTGCCACAATCTAGAGGAATCTGGAGTGGTAGGAAGCAAAATCAGTTCATTAGACTTTCTCTAGAAAGTTCATGGCCTATTCTGCAGATGTGAACTTTCCAGAAGAAGACGTGATGTACAAAGGAATGCACAGATACTTGCCTCCTAGTGAGAGTTCTAGTGTGTTGCACTCATAGTAACCAATAACTCCTCTCAGCGTCTTAGATGAAGCTCAATGTATTGGAATATCAGCACTGCTCTCCACAAAGAAGTAAACTCCAATTTAGGGCTTGGATATTTGTCCTCCATGCCAGCTTCGTGCTTCGTTTCGTCTGTGAACAACTGCCTCTTCTACTTCTCCATTCTCTTTCAACCTTAATGATACAAAACACCCACTCTCTAAATTACAATTAGCAGTTTTTGCATGTTTTGCATGGTATTTTGCTAATGTAAATCATTTTTCCAATCCACCCTTGCAATGCTCATTCTTCTTTTGTAAGTCACCTTTCTAATAAAATTATCATCTAAAAATATTAGATTTGAAAATTTTTATATAAAGTACAAACCATGTACACTTCTTTTTTTTAAGCAAAGTTGAAGTTGATGAAACTTTTAGAAGAAGAATTTATAGAAGTTAAAGATAAAATAGAAGATATTGAATACAATAGAATATTAGAATTATTCAATGTTAGATATAAGAGTGGATCTTTCACATATGGTGAATGTTGTAAATCAAGATATCCTCCAAGCTAGATCTAAATATTATTAGGCAAGCATAAAAAAATAATCTTGAGGTAATTCAAAAGCATGTTTGATCTCAAATTACACTTTAATAACAAAAGGATTAAAAATTAAGATCAAATTAATTCATATTTATCAAAGAAATGAATTTCAAAGAATTAAAAGATCAGTATATTCTTGTGTCACTCAAAAGACCAAAAAATCATTAAAGATGATATAATATTAAACTAGTATGGCTATTGCTAAAGGCAAGAAGACTAGAAAGTCTTAAAATAAGTCTAAAGACTAGAAAGGCATTGATAAGAGTGAATAAGTGTCAAGGACATGAATCTCAAAGAAAGAAATCTTCAATACACTCTTGTATCATTCAAAAGTACTAAAAGTCTACCTAAAGTTGATATAATATTAAATTAGAATGACTAAACTAAAGACAAGAAGACTAAAAAGTTTTGAAACAAGACTAAAGACTAGAAAGGTGTTGATAAAAATAAAAAAAGGCTTCATTCTTGCTTCTATATATACTCTTAACTAGAAGCTATATAATGATGTCCTATAGAACCTCCAAAACATATTGACTTTATAAGACACATACCTTAACTTACAAGGTAAGTTTTCTATATGTGTGCCACATAGTTAGCTTATTCTGCAAGCTATCAATACATGGTTAACTTGTTGACTAAGTTTCTAACCTGTTAATTAACTACAAACACATGTAAAATCAAAGCAGCATCTATAAAGCTTCTAAGAAGCTTTTCTAAAAATTATTATGGAATAAATTTAATTTTATGTGCTTCTATTTAATTATATAGGTAAATATTAGAAAAAAAAATATGTCCATGACATTATCTTTCCTTTTAAGCACAAGTTCTACAAAGAGTAGTTAATAACTTTCATAGATCTTGCAATTCTTCATCTTGGTTTTAATGGATGTCATCTATATTAGAGCATGGATAGGATAATTATATTATTGACACATAAAAATAGGTAATTGGAGTCATTTTTGAAAAGTTTTTAGAAGTTTTTTAGAATTGAGACTAGGTTGGTGGTCCATATAGGGCCCACCATAGAATATCCTAGAAGAATTAAGGACAATTATCTAAGTAGAATCTACTTTTAGAAGGTGGTTATCAAAGTGGCGTAGATTTCTAAAATCTTCTAGAAAGGTAATTATTTTGGTGGAATCCACCATTAAAAACATTCTAAGAAGTTCCAAGATGGATGACTATTTGAAACATTGAATGAGATGTGACTTTGGTTCCTATCTTTTAATAAAGTTTGATTTATATTTTTTATTTTGTTTTATTTTATTTTCTTTTGCTTTATTTTATCTTTTATATTCTATTTTTTTAGTTATATTCAATTTTATTTTGGTCTATTTTTTCCTACTTTGTGACAAGATTTATATTACTATAGACTAGAAGGATTTCAAATCTTTAAGAAAATTTAGTCTTATTTCATCATTGATAAAAATCTTCAATCTTCTTTGCTATATTTTTAAGATTCTTTACTAGTTCTCATATACATTCACTAATATCATATCTACACCAATAAATAAGATATTTGAATTTATTTTAGTATTACCTTGAATCTATGTCACAAACACATATTTATTGTAATTATTACCTTGGTGATATGAATAGATAGAAGTAGGTAAAAATAGATTAATTTCATAATATCTTCTAGAAAAGCTTTTTAAAAGCTTCATAGACATTGCTTTGACTTTACATGTGTTTATACTTGATTGATAGCTAACTATATGGCACCCACATAGAAAACTTGTCTTACAAGTTAAAATACGTATAGTGCAAAGTCAACACGTTTTTGGAGGTCCTATAGAATGTTGCCACATAGCTCCAAGGTAGATAGTATATATAGAGGCAAGAGTGAAGCCTGCTTCACTTTTGTCAACTTCTTTCTTACTTCTAGTCTAGTTTGAAGGATCTCTAGTTTTCTTGTCTTTTAGCAATAGCCACTTTAATTTCTTTCTTAATATACATATTTAGTTATTTCTATTTTTTCATCTTTTTTTGAATAAAGTCTCACTTGTTTATTTATTTTTATCATATTCTTGTCCTTAACAGATTGATAAGAGTGCACTTGCAATATTAAAGCTTTGTCTAATCTTGATTAAGAGTGGATTACTCCTTTCTCTTGATAAGACATAAATGTATTAGAAATTATAGATTACCCTCTTCTAAATTGATATTTTTCTTAATATTTTCTTTGTTCTTAAGTCCTCACTTCTATTTGCCTTAAGCAATATTAGACATCTTTTCTTTTTTAAGTGTTATTATGGCAAAACTTACTGAAATGAAGAGTGCAATGGCACAAATGTAAGAGCAATTGAGGGAGTTAATGCTTACAATATATCAACTCAATTTACCACCACAAGGAATAACAAGTTTGGTAGGAAGTGAAGATATAGAAATGATTAGAGCTGCTTCAATATTTGCACCAAATCATGTCCCTTCTCCTATAGTGGAACATCCTTATAGTATTAGAAAACCAAGAATTGTCCTACCCAAGAAGTTTGATGGCATCGGATCAAAATTTAAAGGATTTATCAATCAAGTACAACTTGTGATTGAACTTCAACTCCAAAGCTATCCAATTCCAAGATCACAATTTAGATTCATTGATATACTTCTTTTAGGTTTAACATTATCATGATTTTCATCTTTTCTTGAATGACGAGATCTAATATTGCTGTCACAAACACAGAAATACAGACTCGAGATCTAACATGAAGTTCAAGAAGAACTGGCAAGAACTAGATTAATTACATGAATACAAGAACAACACCAGAGAAGTGAGCTAGAGCTTCAAGAGATGTGTTGTCGAGACTGAAGAATTCTTCAACCTCGATTCCAATATATACTCCTATTTAGGAAGCTTCTCAAGCAACTTCTACCAACTAGGAAGCTTCTAGAAAGTTCCAGAGACTTGCTTCTAGAAGGTTCTAGAAACTTATCTCTAGAAGGTTCTAAGAACTATATTCCTAACATCTTCTACTAATTAAGAAGCTTCTAAAAGGTTCCAAAGACTTGCTTCTAGAAGGTTCTAGAAACTTATCTCTAGAAGGTTCTAAGGACTATGTTCCTAACATCACCCCCTCCTTTAGCTTCGAGGTCTCTGAGAAGCAATGTTGTTGTTAATCAGTACTAATGCAAGAAAATGAAGATCTGTCGCATAACGTCTGCAATGAACTCCAACTGTTGTTCACAAGGTAAGTGGTTCATCAGCCCTTGAAGCCAACGGTAGTGGCCCACTCCTTCAACTTCTCACCAAGCATGAACTTCCATGTCCTCATTGTGAAATTGTCCTGCAAACACACCTTTTGGCTAATCATCGTAAGCAAGCTCGGACTCAAATACAATCACCAGTGATCGGTTACTCGGTATCCTCCGTCGTTGTCGTGGTGTAGGTGGTTCTTCATCTCGGGGTCGCCTTCGTGAGCTAATCGGTTGAGATAATCTGAATGGCATAGTATCTATCTCTTGAATATCCATATCAGAAGACCAAACTATGGCTACTGAAAAAATTCTATTTTATCTTAGAGAAAATAACTACATCAACTATGAATTTTGGTGGTGCTCTCTCCCTTATATTCTTGGGTGAGCAAGCTTCAAAAGGAAGCTATCGTCGAACCGGCTTAAATTTATGAGGATGTTATTGATGAAACTCTTGTACCTTTTGTGGCGCATTGGCGAGATTTTTAGCTGGCTCCCACGTTCGTTCATTAATGTCGTAGCCGCACCAATGAAGAAGATACTCCAACTTGCCCCACCTTCACCGTGAATCTAACACCTTTTCAACCTCGTATTCATCGTGGTACTCGATCTCAATACTAGGTGGCAGACATTGCACTCTTCTAAGAAAAGACGACTCTCGATAAGGCTCCAACAGAGAAACATGAAAGACTGGATGTACCTTCATAGAAGCCGGTAATTCTAGACGGTACGCCACTGGATTGATTTGCTTTTGGATGATAAATGGTCCCAATCTTCAATA